GAAAGTCTCCCTCAGCCCTGCCTGTGCCCGGCAGAACCAAATGCCAGGCTTTTAGCGCAGCAGCCTCAAAGTCGGGAATCACTTTGGCTTTAATTCATTATTAACACACTCCTGAAAGCCCTTGGAAGTGCCAGCACCAGCAGACGCCAAGAACACAAGCTCTTACAGCCTGTGGACGGGTGGAAAGGTAACTGCAGTCTTGCTGCTCATCTCCAGGCCTGGAGAAATATCAGACCGCTACATTTTATTTTGTGTTCTTCATAGTGACCCAAATATTAGCTTGTACACAGCTCCGTGCTTGCTTCCAGCACGGTGTGTGTTTATAATCACATGAGGACCTGGCTCACTGGCCGCATCTTTCTCATCTTTCTACCCTCCATCCCGCACCCCCTGCCTGGCGTGTAGTGGATATTCAATAATGTTTGCAGAAAGGATGGAGACAACATAATAATGAATGCACCCAGTAGGGCTTTCCTGTGCTTTCCCAACAGAACAGTTGCAGGCACGGCCAACCTAACCTACTGGTTACATCACTCATCTTCCAGCCTCAAAATGGACTCCAAGTCCTGTGGAATTATTCATCCAGGTACTGTCTCAAAAGTTTGGCAGTATCTTTAATGCCTGCGACCCCACCTCAGTGTTGTGATCTGCAAGGCCTGTCACCAGTGTACACTACAGATGTGCACAGACACATGCGTGCACACACACACCAAATATTTTCTAATTTGAGTCCAGCGGATTGTATGTTTCTGCACCTGGTTTCAACACTTGGGCAGGAAGTGGACCTTTGTCCTCAGAATTAGAGGAATAATGAAGACAAAGATGCACTGGTCTCTGAGACCCCTTGGACCTTCAGAGATGCCTGGAACTCAAATGTGGGGTACAATTCTTGAGGTGTTTTGCTCCCCATAATTTCTTTTGCATCACAGCCCTTTTCCCGTCCCAACAACAGCATCTCCTCTCCTTCCCCGGGGGAGAGGGTGGCACTGCAAGAAGCTGATCACACAGGGTCAACTGCTTGGCTTCTGAGGTTGAACAGAGCAAATCGGGACAGAAACCGAAGAAACTGGAAGAAAAGAATTTTGAAGAGTAACACAGAGCCTTGCTGTCCTGCCCCAGAGCCAGAGTTCCCCTGAGCAAAGGCTGTCACGAGAGAGATGGTGGCATTGATAGTGTCTAATGTCACCAGAGAGGGCTCCTGTCGTCACAGTAAGAAAGGTGGTCTCAGTTCAGAGGACAAGAGAGTCACTGGTGGCTGGGGAGATGGAAGAAACAAGGGAAGGTCCAGGAGTGTCCACAACGTGCAGCTGAAACGCCCACCACCTGCCTGTTTCTGGAGTTACTTTTCTGGCACACACGCCACCAGGAGCTGATGGGAGTTACCGGGAGCCTGGCTTCTGGGCTCAGCCATGTGCAGATTTGGGGCACGGTGATTGCCCGATCCTGGGCCTCCCAGACAGGCAGCGCCAGGATGCCCTTGCCTCCCGGTCACTTCATCTGGAGATGTGGGAGGTGGCCCGGACCCGGGTCGGGAAGCCAGCTGCTCCCACCAGTCCCGGTGACTCTGAAAAGCCTAGGGGGTGTGGGGAAGTCTTGGTCCAACGCTGTGGTCCCTGTAACACTTGCTACATCATCCACAAGCGAGGCCTCTTCCTTTAACGGTGTAAGGAACATTTCAGGGTCCCATGGGTGGCCATTAGAGTGCATTTCCCCGGGAGCCTGGGGGAGTCAGAGGCAAGGGCAGTATGGCTGAGCCCTGCCATCCCAGACGGCCCTTCCCAACCCGAGCCATGCCAGCAGGTGTGGGCCAGTTTGTGAGTTTCTGAGGGGATCCTGTCCATTTGGAGAGGACCTGGAAATTTTATTTAAGCTACCCATAGGGCCGGCTTCAAGTGTCATCCTTGGATTAAGAGCTGTGTGGAAACCTTTTAGGGCTGATTCAAATCCCAGAATCTCAGAGGACACACAGAATCAGGGTAGATAGTTGACTCTATACTCATTGACAAATATTTACTGAGTGTCTGCTCTGTGCCAGGAACAGGTCCAGTCTCTGGGGAAACGGCAGTGAACAGATGGAACCCGTCCCCGGGTGGAGCTAACCTTTTATGGAGGTGAGGGGGAGCTGACAAAGAACTGAGTATCTTACTCACCGAGGGTTAAGAGGCACGGACACTCAGAGAGAGCAGGGGATGAGGACAGAGGATGCCACATGTGGATGGAGGAGCCTCCTATGGGAAAAGGTGGGTCAGGCAGGCCTCGCTGAGTAGGTGACGTTACAGTAAACACGAAAGTGGAGAAATGAGTTGATATGGCTGGGTTTCCTGGGAAAGAGCTAACAAGTGGAGGGTAGGCCAGGGAAAGGGGCGAGGCCAGGGTTACTGCAGAGGGTGGGGGTGGGCTCTCTGCCTGGAGGGTGGAGACCACATGGTTCTCTGGAAGCCTTTGGAATTGAAACTTTCCATCCCATCATCCTCCTGAACCTCCAGATGTCCCAGAAATTCTAAACTACATCTCCCAGAATGCCTGCCACCTGCACCTGTCATCCAGGAAAATGTGGGGCGAGAGGATGGCCGGGTCCCAGGTCGCTGTCAAGCCCCTGGGACGTACCCCATCGAGTGAGGGTCTTTGACTTCATCCAGGAGAGAATTCAAGAGCGAGCCACAGTTGAGTAAAAGTAGACTTATTCAGAGATACACCCTCCACAGACAGAGTGCAGGCCGTCTCAGGCAGAAGGGAGCGCGGCCACGAGGTGTGGGGTTGTTGGTTTCTACGGGCTCGGGAACCTCAGATACTGACAAGCAGGTGGTTTATTCCAGCTTCTTTGGGGAAGGGGCGGGGATTCCCAGGAATTGGGCCACCGCCCCCTTTTTGACCTTTTATGGTCAGCCTGGACTGTCGTGGTGCCTGTGGGAGTGTCACTCACTATGTTAATATGTCACAATGAGTGTATAACGAAGCTCAAGTTCAAGGTCCACTGGAAGCCAGATCTCCCCCCATACTGGGCCTCAGGGTCTACTGAGAGTTGAATTTTCCACCATCTTGGTGTTACTGGCTGTGTCATTCCTCGAATGGCTGTGCCCTGTCCCCTTCCCTCATGTCTCACCTGAAAGTCCTACAGCCCCCTCCCCCAGGACACCCTGATGTGAGATTTGGAAAACACAGTATGGTCCAACCCTGCGGTTCCTCCATGCTGTCCGTCAGGCGCTACGCTGGGCTCGTGACACGCTGTTTTCACTTCTGACTCTGAGTGGCTTCAGGGAACACACACACACACACAGGAAGCAACAACTGAATCCAATGGAAAATCATTTTTTCCCACGAGATGTTTATGCTCACCATCTAAGAGCAAAATCAGACTGGAAACAATGAGTAAGTCCCTTCAGGAACTCCCCACCCCACTCCTGCTTCCCGCCAGCCTGGCCACCCCACAGTGGTCAGAGGTCCACCTTGACAGTCAGTCTTCCCTAATCCATCCGTTCCACCAGACGCCCGAAGCCTCTGAGCGCTGGCTCCCCAGCTCCCTCCCTCTGCATCACTCCCCGGGGGTCCTCAAACACCCATGTGCACCACCCTGGCATCTGACTTTATATCTGTAGGCCAGACCTGCCCCCTGCCCTCCAGCCACCATCTGTCCCTCCGTATCCATACATCCAGGTCCTTCCACTCCCTTCGGCTTGGAAATGCCACCTCCAGCTTCACATGTCCCCACAGAGCCACCAATGCTCATCCCCGTCCCTGCTTATCCCCGTTGATGGCATCTTCCAACGGCTCAGACTAAGGACTTGGGGTCATCCTTGAGTCTCTCACACCTCACGTCAGTTTGCCAACAACTCCTATGGGTTCTTCCTTAAAACACATCAGAGGCTGACCACTTCTCCCGGCTCCCTGAGGCCACTCCAGGTCCACGCCCTTGTCCTGTCTAACTGCAGTAACTCCTTGGTGGAGCCTCCTGCTTCTGCTCTGTCCACCCCCCCACCCTACCCCAACTTGGTCTAATCTCAGCACAGAAGGCAGAGCAGTCTTGTTAATATCCAAGTCCATTGTGTCCTCTGCTTACAACCCTCCAAAGGCTCCCATCTGACTCAGACCAAAAGCCAAAATCCCTGCAGTACCCTCTAAAGTTCTATGCGATCCCCACCCCTTACCTCTCTCATTCCATCCCACCCTGCCCACACTGTTCCAGCCACCTGGGCTCTCTGCTGGCCCTCAAAAGGCCAGGCACACTCTCACGTCAACCTCAGGACCTTTGCATGTGGTGTCCTCTCCACCCCAAATGCTCATCCTCACAACTGCCCAGCCCTCCTCCTTACACAGAGGCTTCCGTGAAGCCATTCCTCGCTCAGTGTCCACTGTCAGCCCCTAGCCCATGCTCTCCAGCGACCTTCCCTGCTTTATTTTTCTCCTTAGCCCTTGCCACCACCTGTCTCACTGTTTATTTTAATTATCAGTCTGTCCATCTGTCTCTCCCACTAGATTGTAAGCTCCACAAGGCACACATCTCACTCTGTTTTATTTGTTGTTATAGTCCCAGTCCCCAGGATAGTTTTGGCTCATGAATATTCATTGGTTGAATGGAGGAAGTCTACAACTGAAGGAGCATGGCCCTCCTCTTCCGGCATCCCCCTCAACCCAGTGGCCAACTGAGCGGATGGCATTCAGATGCTCCCGTGGGTTAGTTACAAGAGCATCTCCCCAGCTTCCCTCCTTTTCAAAAGGATGAGGATAGAGGTCCTCAGGGACGGAGGGAGGGTCTGGCCTACCTTTACAGGATCACCTGTGGGAGGCTGTGGCTGCAAACAGCCGGCCCCCTGCATTTCCGTCACAGGTGCAGCCTTTCCGAAATCCGAAATCCGGAGAGAAAACTTTTCCCCGCCCCTTTGGGTGGGGAAAGACGCCTTCCATCCGAACTCCTGGGACGATCCCGTCTGGGTGTGGTCCTAGCGGTGACGGCGCTTATTTTCCCCGGAGTCGTGTTCCGTGGGGCTGCTCAGAGCTTGGGAACAGTGAGGGCGTTAGGACCAGGGGCGAGGCGCACGCCTGGCTGGGGCTGGCAGAGGTCCTCGGGCTGGCTGAGCGCGGAGCTCTGTGCCAAAGGAAATCAGGGCTGCCTGCCGGCTTCACATCTGTTGATCTGACCCGACTTGAAGGGTCCAAAGGAGGACGGCTGTCAGCTCGGCTGGACGGCGGACCCACCAGCTCCCCCAGGCATCTCGTAGCAACCTGACCATTCACGCAAGGGGGGAGAGGAAACACGTGGGACTAGACACCTGAGCAGAACGGAATCATTATTTTTTTCCCAAAGGAAAAGGGGCTGAAAGGGGGCAAACGGTTCAGTTTGAAGTCCCTGTGAATGGGCTTTCAGAAGGCAATTAAAGACACCCGCTGAGAGAGGAGCCGGGGTGGGACCTGGGTCCGTGGCTTTCTGATTGCAAGTGGACACCGGTCTTACACACGCTGCTGGCAAGTGTCAGTCGTGGGGTGGGTGGGGAGGGAAGGAGCAGGTTAAGGGACCGGCAAAACACTTCCAGGTGGAACCAGGAACCCAGGTTCTGCGGCTTGAAGGAACCTGGCGCCGGAGGAGAAAGGGAACTTGAACATGACCTGTTGCGTTTGGCAAGTTCCAGCAACATGCTCGTAAGAAAGCGGCTCAGGCACGGCCCCTGCGGACTGCGGGTCCTGCTGCTGCTCCTGTCGCTGGGATGCGCGCTGCTGATGCTGGCCGCGCTGCACCCTCCCCCGCACGCCCTGCCCCGGGCGGTCACAGCCCAGGGCACCGAGCGCAGCCCCGATGCTGGGTACCGCCTGGACTTCGGGGAATCCCAGGAGTGGGTGCTGGAGTCCGAGGATGAGGGCCAAGAGTACGGCCCCCTGGGGGGCCTGCCGCCCTTCGTCTCGCTGCGGGAGGATCAGCTGCTGGTGGCCGTGGCCTTGCCCAGGGGCAGAAGAAACCGGAGCGAGGGCAGGAGAGGTGGCAGCTACCGGCTCATCAAGCAGCCAAGCAGGAAGCAGGATGAAGACGCCGCGGAGAGGGACTGGGGGGCCGAGGAGGAGGAGGATGGAGAGGCGTCAGAAGAAGATGAGCTGACCCCGCTCGGCCTGGAGGAGGCGCTCAGTGCCCGCATCCCCCTGCAGAGGGCGCTGCCTGAGGTACGGCATCCGCTGTAAGTAAGGCCCTCGCTTCCCCTTCCCCTGGTTCTGGAGCGCAACCAGCAAGCTTGGGGCTGCAGACTTCGTGCGCTGCCTCCACTGGCTTAGGGCGGCGCTTCTCCAGGTGTGGTCCAGCGGCAGCATCACCTGGGGACTTGTTAGCGGTGCAGGGGCAGACTCTTTGGGTGGGGTACGGCGGTCTGCCTTGAACCAGGCCTCCAGGTGAGAACCACTGTCCTAGAGACAGAAAAGGAGTAACTCTTGTTCCTTCTCTTCCCGTCCTGGGTTCTAGTTCTTCCGTCTCTGGCTTCTCAGGTCAAACAACCTTATCTCTACAACACAGAGGGGCCAGGGAGCACCTGTTCTCCAAGACACTTCCAGTTCTAACTCTGATGCTAGCACATTTTGATATTAGGATGGTTGTGTTTGCTTTCATTTTGGATGAAAGCAACAATCACAGCTAGCACTCGTGTGGCTCTGGCCTTGAGCCCGGCTTTAATCAAAGAGTTTTTCATGTATTAACTCATAAAGTCCTTACAACTCTGTAGGATGGGTGCTAGCACTACCATGATGCCTACTTTATAGGTATGAAAATAAGGCACAGAGAGGGCAAGTGACCTGCCCACAGTCACACAGCTAGTAGGTGCCAAAGCAGGGATTTACTCCAATCTGCCTGAACCCTCCCCTCTATGCCCCTTCCTTAGTCCACCAGACTGTGGGGACAGTTCCAGGGCACAGAAGCTAGAATACGGTGCTGTTGCATCTGACCTGGCAGGGTGGCCCACCCCTAGGAGGCAAGCTGGGAAGTGTGAAGACACGCAGGCTGTGTCCAGGGAGATGGTGGGCTCGTCCTGGACCCTATCTGCCCTGCCCACCATCACCATGGCTGGCCCAGGGGAGGGGTCTGGTTACCCAGCATCCAGGGGCAATGCAGCTGGCTAGCTGGGTGGTGGAGGCCCCTCCTCTGTAAGCACTGCTCTTTCCAGAACCCAGAGGGTTTCCTGGGCAGCAGAGCCACCGAGGATCAGGTTACAGCAGAGGTCAGGAGCAGGACCACTACTTGCATCCCTGAAGGGTTCCTCTGAGCCTGGCTACTCAGCCACTTGCCGCCAGGCATACGCAGATGCAGGTCGGCCCAAGGGTGAAGCCTCCTTAGATTGTGTACCCGGTGCCTCACTCAACTCACTGTAGCCCCAGCCCAGCTGCTCTGACTCCAATTGCGGCTGAAACAGCTCTTTTCAGGAAACTCTCAGACCTAGCCAGGCCCACCCATCACAGTTTTATGCTCTCTGCAGCTTTAATTCATAACGCTCATTACAACTGCAGCTAAATGGTCATTGATGTGCTGCCTGGTGAACAGTCCCAGCACACAGGAAAGATGTGATTGCTGAATGAATGAGTTTATCATTCTCCAGTTCTTTTGATGATAACATTTTTTTCACTGGCCTAGAGCAAGAATGTTTTCCCAATGAGAAACATTGCCTCAGCCAGGAGAGTCTCTGGCTCCCCAAGCTGTGAGTGCATGTGTGGCTGTGTGTGTCTGCATCATGCAAGTGTGGGTGCATTGGGTTGTGTGTGTGTTAAAGGGATGTTGTGCATATGTGCTGTTAGTGGTGCCTGCATACCTAGTGCCTGTGTCTGCTGTGGTGTGAGGTGCACAGGGACCAGCTGTGTGATGTGTTGTCACATGGGCATATGTGTTGTCAATGTGTTCATGTTCATGTATGAATCACTGTGCTGGGTGGCACACGTGCGTCATGTGTGCGCACATGGCATGGCATGCACGTGCATTTTGCATGTGTGCTTTGTTGCATGTTGCGCATGTGCTTTGTGTGAGTGTGCTGCAAGAGTTATAAATGTTGCGCAAATGGCACGTGTGCACATTTGCAAGTGTCTGTGTTATGCTTGTGGTTTGAAGTGCATGAGTGTGTGTTGTGCACGTGGGCATGTGTGGATGTGTGTGCACCGCTTCTGTGGTTGCTCTCTTCCAGCCAGGGTGACCAACTCGGCCCAGTTTGCCTAGGACTTTTCTGTCGTAGAAACCCCTCAGTCCCCAGGCAAATCAAGACGGTTGATCTCCCCACCCGGGGCTTGGCTCTGTCCGGAGGTGTATGACGCCCTCTGCTGGCCGCAGCCTGTCCCTGCAGCCTGTGCGGCCCTGGCCTGGGTCCCCCGTCTCCCCTCCCCCAGTTGCCCTTCAGGTACTGGCGCCGCCCATTCCTGGCAGGGCTCCAGGATGCGCCACGGATTCTCTGCAAAATAAGGCAACAACGTCCCTACTCTCCCTCTGCGGTGACAGGACTCTCCTTCTCCCATCTTACCTAGTTGGTCTGTGGTGAGGCCTGGGCGTCCCCAGGTAGTTCCAATGTGCAGCCAGGGCTGAGATCCAAGGCTGTGAGGCACCAGGCATTTCCCAGCCAGTGGGGAGAGGTGGGAGGGGGGCATCTCCTCCTTCGATTTCCCCTGCTCCCGTCCTGCCCCAGAGGTCACTTTGGCAGCAGCTTTGCTATCGTGGAGGAGGGGGGAGAGGGGGGTCACTGTGCACCTGGTCAGGTTGGTCCTTGCTGGGCAGCAAGCCACCCCAGGACAGCTCTGGTACCTCGGGTGCAAAGGAGAGAGGGGGCAACTAACAGGGCATCAATAAATCTTGGCGGGTAGGCACCTCCGGGGGGCGGGGCATTAGTGGAGGGAGAGCTGGAACCGGAGTAGCCTGGGGCAGAGACTGGAGGCTGGAGCCCAGCCAATCCCCCACCTGCAGCCAGAGAGGGAAAGCGGCAGCCCAGTGTGCCTGGGACCTGGCCGGCCAAGCTTGCAGTCTGGGAATCCAGCGTAGCCATGGCCAGGAGCAGTGCCTGCCCAGGTGTCCACTCTGGCCATGGCACCCCCAGTGGGGTTGTGGCGTAGACTGGCCTGCACGTGGCCCTTCGCGGTGGACCACGACCACGGCGCCCGGGGCAGGGGGTCTGGCCTTGTGCTTCGGGGCAGCCCCAGGGATGAGACCGGGGAAAGCTGTTGGTGTCATTTACTGCAGTGCCACTCAGAATGGGGGCCTCAGACCTGCAGCATCAGACATGCAGACTGTCAGCCCCACTCAGCCCTACTGCTTGAAAATCTCTGTTGTTAACAAGAGCCCCAGGTGGTTTCTGTTCATGTTAAAGTCTGGGTAACGCTAATGAGGGTTCCAGGTCACACGTGAGAATCAAGTGGAGGGTTTTACGAACCATCTCGCCCAGGCTCCTCCGCCCAGACCCGAGAACGCGGGAAGTGGTGAGAACACTTCCCAGTGGCTAGGGGAGAGGCCTGGGTTAAAGGTTGTCACGAAGCCTCCAGGATCTGAGGCCTGGGAAGCAGTGGGCAGCGCTGCTACGAGGGTAGGATGGGTTCTCTCTACGTGGAAATTCTGAGAAAACCCAGAGAGAGCAGGTAAGTTGGAAGGAGAGCCATGGGCTGGAGCGGCCCCTGCCAGGGCAGCTCGTCCCCATGGCTCCCTGCTTCTCTCCCCAACAGGTGCCTGCAGCAGCAGCCGGGGGACAACCTGCCCACAGCCAGCGTCATCCTCTGTTTCCACGATGAGGCCTGGTCTACCCTCCTGAGAACCGTGCACAGCATCCTGGACACAGCACCCCGGGCCTCCCTGAAGGAGGTCATCCTGGTGGACGACCTCAGCCAGCAAGGTGGGCACGGGTTCCCTCCACGCTCCCTCGGGTGGGCCTGGACTCGGAGGGGGTTGCCTCGCAGAGACTGGGGTTTGGAACCTGTGTAGACAATGCTCCCCAAAGCAGACCTTTAGGTGGGGATTCGGGCGCAGGTAACTTATTAGAGAATACAGTGGGTAGGGAGGTGGGGGCAGAGGACAGTGGGAGACGGCAGGAGATGGCGGGGCATCCCAGGGAGGGTCTCAGAGGATGCCTCCAGCCGGATCCTGTGGGGATCTCCCCCAGGCCCCATCTTCCACCCAGTCTGGTGAGCCTCTCCCCGAGACACTCAGCAATCACAACAGGTGGCCACCGGCGCATGCTCTCTGCCGCCTAGACTTTGCAAGCATGTGATGTGAGTTAGTCATTCAGTCACCCTCGTTTAGCACACCTGCTCACTTTCCAGACAAAGAAACTGAGGCTTGGGAAGAGAACCGATCAGAACTGAGTTGAGACAAGGGCTGCAGGGATCAGGCCAAGAGCCCAGACTTGCAGAATCTGCTTGAACATTTCCACAGACAGGAAACGAGCTATTGGGACTGGCCCACTGCATGGCTGGGAAGCCAAGAGAAGCTGGAAACAGAAGCCCCCTGCCTGACATCCAGGTCCATGGTTCTCCAACGTGAACGTGCATCAGAATCACCTGGCGGGCAGGTTAACACACAGATTGCTGGGACCACCCTCAGAGTTTCTGGATCTGGGCTGGGGCCTCCATATCTGCATTTCTAACAAGTTCCCAGGTGATGCTAATGCTGTTGGTCCAGGAGACCCACTTTGAGAACCACTGTCCCAGTCTGGCAGGAGCCTCAGGCCTGTATTTCTGGCTCAGCTAAAGGGCCTGGAGAGGCCCCTGCTGGCCTGGTGAGGAGATCAGACTGCTCCAAGGGAAGCCGAACATTTGCTGAGATCTGCAAAGCACTTTCTCAGTGGGCTAACGGAGGACAGAATAGAGTGGCCACGTACTTCTGCTAGTTCTTCCTAAGGTCCTCGTGTTTGGAATTTGCCTCGTGGTGTGGAGTCAGACTAGCCAGAGGCCCTGTCAGTGTGTGGTTGTTGGGGCACATTCAGCAGGGTGTATGAGCAGGTCCTGGGTTGGGCTGGGTTGGCCTGTGAAAGTGCTCAGAGACTCTCCAAACCCTCAGCTGGGGCAGAGTCCTCTCAGGAGCACACCTGTGGTCCCTCGTCAGCTGATAAACTGTGTTTCTGGAGCTTGCCTCCTCCTCGTGTGTGGAGAAGCAGAGCAGCTGGGCCCTAGGAAAGTGAGCTCCCTCCAATGTCCTCAGTTCCTTCTGCTTTTTACTCAGCTATCCTTGGACCATGGCTTTTGGCCTCATCATCACAATTAGGCTGCTCTATCCCTGGACATCACACCTATATCCCAGGCAGGAAAAGGATGAAAGGCAGATAAGCAGAGGGCAGCCAAGTTTGTCCTTTCAGAAAAAAAATCAGTAATAGGCAGTAGTTTTTCCAGAATCCTCTCACCCAGTATATTTCTTCCAGAGTTGAATCACAAGTCCTGGTAAGTAAGTATTTTTAGGTGCCCTGAACAAAATCAAGTTTCTGTAGGTAAGGTGGAAGGGGAGAGTGAATGTTGGGTAAGACAACTAGTGATGCTGAATTCGGTGGAGTCACCGAGGGGGTGGTTGTCAGGTGCAGAAATTTTAACAGCTTCACAAACAGAGATCCTTCTCCAGGGAAGGGACTGGGAGCCTACAAGCTCACCAGAAAACCACTGAGAAAAGCAGTAGCCAAGTGACTGGGATTCCTTTGCCCCCTGCTCAGGACAGATTCCCTGCAGAAAAATCTCCCTAGGAGGAGCTACACGCCACTCAGAGGGCAGCTTCCCAGGGAGTCTGTGGGGCCTCCGGTGAGGCTGCCTGACCCCTCTCCACCTCCCTGCAGCCAGGCCCTGTGTGTCCCAGTGAAGACTGCCTCCGGGCCGGGCAACTGGGGCAATTCTTGTTCTTTGGCTCAGTTCTGTTCAACACGCGTGCACTGAGTGCCTGCCGTGGGCCAGCCCTGTGCGAGGGGCTGGAGCAGCAGAAACGCATGAGAAATAGCCCCTGCCCTTGAGGAGGTCTTGTTCCAGTGGGCTGGGGGCTCCCCACTGCCAAGACATCATGGGTGAACAGCAACAGAAACGTTCTGCTGGTTGAATTCACAGATGCAGGACCAGCAGTTACAGAGGACTGTCTGTACCACCCTTCTATTTTTCAAAAACCTTTTTGGTGGGAGAGGTAATTAGGTTTATTTATTTTTTTAATGGAGGTACTGGGGATTGAACCCAGGACTTTGTGCATGCTAAGCACTTATGCTACCCTCCCCCACTGTACTGCCCTTTTATATAAGGGACTTAAGTATCATCCTGTATCCTCTATAGGACTGTCATTCCTAAAAGAATGTTTAGGTTCTTGGTCTCAGTTTTTTACCTCCCACTTTCTCTTCAACCTGCTGCCCTGCCCCCTCCCTCCCACCACTGCAGTGAGAGCGCTTTGGCCGCCCCACCGATGACCTCCTGGCATCCACGTATAATGGACCCTCTATAGATGAAGTCTGGCCACAGCCTGATCCCAGTCTGTCCTGCCTTAAAGCAAGGGATCGGACTTGGTACCTGGGCAGTGGCCGGTCACTGACTTGGGGCACGCTGGGTCGGGCATGGTGTTCTACACAACGCTGGGCACTTGCAGGACAGGTGGTTCCAGTGCCCTAGGGCGGGTCTCCAGGGAAGGGTGAGACCCACAGCAGCTGGGTGTGTGCAAACCAAACCAGCCCAAGGAACCCCGGGGCATCTGAGTAGGGCACCAGCAGTATTGTTTCAGCCTCGCTGCTGCATTTGGAGAATGAGAGGAAGTTCTCTCCTCTCTGAGTCTGACGACGCCGTTTTTACTGGAGAGAATCCTGACCTACCCAAACTAGCGAAGTGACTTAGATCTTAGCAACCACCACACTGTAATGGATGGGATGCTCGGGACCCTGGTGCTCACCTCGCTCCCAAGAGAGAACTGTTGACAGTGATCCTTGTGACGGTCACCACAATCCTGGGGCTGTGGCATCTGTCACCCCACTGACCACAACCCTTTCGATTCCAGGACAACTCAAGTCTGCTCTCGGCGGGTACGTGGCCCAGCTGGAGGGGGTGAAGTTGCTCAGGAGTAACAAGAGGCTGGGTGCTACCGGGGCGAGGATGCTGGGGGCCACCAGGGCCACTGGGGATGTGCTGGTCTTCATGGATGCCCACTGTGAGTGCCACCCGGGCTGGCTGGAGCCCCTCCTGGGCAGGATAGCTGGTGACAGGTAACTCATCCCTGGAGGCTGCAGAACAGAAACGGAGAGGGGGAGCAATGGTCACCTACAGCCTCAGCCACTCATAAAACATCCACCCGCCATCAAAAAATGGCTGAGTCGCCTCCTTTCGAGGTCGATGTATTGCTTTGGGTTTTTCAGATGTTTGAGCCTCCTAAGAAGCATAGCGGGTAGAGTTGGAAGGAAGATAAGAGTCCTCCAGCCCCTTGATCTCAATTTTTATTTTTTTGCTAGCTGTTCTTTTTATATATATATTTTTCATTGAACTGTAGTCAGTTTACAATGTTGTGTCAGTTTCTGGTGTACAGCACACTACTTTAGTCATATAGGAACACACATATATTTGTTTTCATATTTTTAACCGTAAGTTACTACAAAATACTGAATATAGTTCTCTGCACTATACAGTATAAACTTATTTACTTTATATATAATAGTTAGGATCTGCAAATCTCATACTCCCAATTTATCCTTTCCTACCCCCTTCCCCCCCTGGTAACCATAAGATTGTTTACTATGTCTGTAAGTCTGTTTCTGTTTTGTAGATAAGTTTGTCCTTTTTTTTTAGATTCCACATATAAGTGATATCATATGATATTTTCTTTCTCTTTCTGGCTTACTTCACTTAGAATGACATTCTCCAGGAACATCCATATTGCTGCAAATGGCATTATTTTATTCTTTTTATAGCTGAGTAGTAGTCCATTGTATAAATACACCACAGCTTCTTTATCCAGTCAT